TAAGTATCTAATAAAAAGGATAATATATTAGTCAATTATACTTCAGATGGACACGTCCTCCTAGATCACCCAGTTACTGGGTGAAAATCATTTTCTTTAAATTACTTACATTAATTAATTAACGTTAATCCTCCCATATCACACCACTTTTGTGTCTCATTATACTTCCTGCGCTGGCACGAGCAGCAGTGCAAATTTAGCAGACAAAACTTTGTACAAAATTTGCGGAAATGAGTAAAGAAAAGAGAAATAGGAAGAGGAAAGGGCCCAGATAAGGCGGAAAATGAAGAAACTTAAAAAGAAACTCTATACATATGAATCAAATAAGCAAATAACCTTTAATTCCCTAATTAGTTATTTTAGTTCATACAAGTAAACAAGGGTAGTAGAAATAGCTATGAGATGATCTAGGGGGTGTAGGCTATTATTCTACACCCCGCATTGCCTAAAATTATATTATTTTCTTCAGCGACGCGGCCGTAAATTGCCTGCCTTAAAACATACCTTTCATGACTCATAGCACTATCAAATCCGGTAAATAAACAAATTTTTATCGCCTCGTGTATAGTAATTTTTCTTATCGGCTCGATGAAGTAAACCTATATTAAAATTTAACGGAACCTAAACGTTATTCTGGGCATAAAAAAGGTGGGCTCTTGCTAAATAATCAAGTGCCAGTAATAACTACAGGGTGCTAATAAAGTACTTGCTAAATATCCAAGTACCGGCAACACCCATTGGGCGTCAATGTCCTCCAAGATTACTTGCTAAATATTCAAGTTCAAAATCTTAGTTGCACTTGTTAAATATTCAAGTGCCAGTAACACCTACAGGGTGCTAATAAAGTACTTGCTAAATATCCAAGTACCGGCAACACCCATTGGGCGTCAATGTCCTACAATATTACTTGCTAAATATTCAAGTTCAAAATCTTAGTTGCACTTGCTAAATATTCAAGTGCCTAGAAAATTAGGGTAAAAGGCCAAAGCCCAAAGTCACCTTGGCAACCCAAAAGAAAACAAAAAAGTGTTCGGAAATACGAATTAAGTCATTATCCTTAACGCAATATTTTTGTTTATTTTTAGACAAGTCGCTACCTGTCTATGGATATCAATAATAGTGAAACAAATATTATGATTCTGTCTAATATTTACTAGCTTTGGTTAATCCACATATTATATACACGTATAAATATCAATAGGCAAAGGAAAATAGTAATATAGGCAAAGAAAAACTGATTTGCAACCCAGCATTGTCCTTGACTTATGCACGCTAGTATGTCTCCGAAAACTATTAACATGATCTGTATTTCCCGCCTGGATTTGGAAACTGGTGAGACAAATATTATGATTTTGTCTAATATTTACTAGCTTGGGTAATCCTCCACAAGGTGGATTATATATATATATATATATATATATATATATATATATATATATATATATATATATATATATATATATATATATATATATATATATATATATATATATATATATATGGTATTTAATAGAAATTAAAGATGTCTAAAGAAATTAAGCTTTCCAAATCCATCTTAGAGATGAAATTTATGAAAAAGACGAAAGAAAAAGTGGATAAAGCTGAAGAAGATGCGGAAGGTCAGGCTATGTATTCGAACGAGATTACAGAAGAAATGAAGAAAAGTGGCAATATTATATTTAGACCGGCCAGTATAACGATATGCAAAAGATTAGTGGAAGGTAGGCTTTCGTTTGGAGGTATGAATCCAGAAATCGAAAAACTAATGGCGACTGATTATAAGAAAATCGTCGTTGAAGTGGAGAAACGCAAAGAAAAAGACATTACCGATGAAGAAATGGCACAAAGACATTCCACAGTCGTTAATACGATCAGCAACAAGTTTAAAAAGAAAAGAAATAGGAATATATAAAGCTTTCCGTTGAAAATGGCGGCACCGGCATTACCGGCAAGTACTTTCCACTACTACTAAAGTAATTTCTCAAGCATTAAGAGTAGGAGCATTATATTTTAGTCATTATTGAGGTAAAATGATAACGTAATAATGTAGATAAAGTTATCCACATTTATTACGCAATATATTAATTGTGCTAACTAATTGATAGTTGATTCTAACATTAACAAAAAAGTGATAAAGTTACTCATTTTGATTAAATTTGACGAATTTTTGACTAGCTGTGCTTTTGCTTACACAGAATATTTCGTTAAAATTACGTATTGTTATTATTTTACAGGTACCTACATTCTGTATGGTTAGAAAGGATCACTTTCGGGATGAATAAAGAATGAAAAGACCGTTCAAATAAGGAATCTTTTTGACATGTACTTCCATTTGAGAATTGTTCAACACATTGCTGTTGTTCCAAGTTTCATCAAAATAATACCAAACGGTTCAAAAGTTGTAATGGGACGGACTTTAGGTCCTCATTGTGTATTATTTTATATACTTCTCAGAGACAATACTAGCGCATAAGTCAAGGACTATGCTGGGTTACAATGTTTATAATATGAGCATATGTTTATATATAATAAAATAAATGATGAATTAATCAATAAGAAAGATGAAGAAATTTTCAGATTAACAGACATAATTCAGAAACGTTGCAATAGTATCAAGCAAGATTGTGATTTAATATAATAATTTTGAACAAAATAAATATTCAATCTACTTAACAGAATATCAAATGAAATATCTTCTTTACAAAACCACCTGACGAGTTGTGAGGGCGACAAAAGTTAGGCCTGCTCAAAAAATGTGTATCGAAAATGGACAAACTTTCAAACGTTCGGAAAGGGAATATCTACGGCAGATAGAAAAGTTAAAGAAGATCTAAACAGTAAAGAAATCTCCTTACAGGTATTCTGTATTTTATATTGAAATTTATTAGGTAAATTAGGTTAACACTGGTGACTTATATTAAAGGTTCATTTGTAGGAGGTTTCTGGAAACTTCTTATTCTATTTCTTCTTTTTAAACTTGTTGCTGATCGTATTAACGACTGTGGAATGTCTTTGTGCCATTTCTTCATCGGTAATGTCTTTTCTTTGCCCACTTCAACGACGATTTTCTTATAATCAGTCGCCATTAGTTTTCGATTTCTGGATTCATACCTCCCAAAACGAAAGCTGCCTCCACTAATCGTTTACATATCGTTATACTGGCCGGTCTAAATATAATATTGCCACTTTTCTTCATTTCTTCTGTAATCTCGTTCGAATACATAGCCTGCCCTTCCGCATCTTCTTCAGCTTTATCCACTTTTTCTTTCGTCTTTTTCATAAATTTCATCTCTAAGATGGACTTGAAAGCTTAACTTCTTAGACATCTTTTAATTTCTATTAAATCATACCATATATATATATATATATATATATATATATATATATATATATATATATATATATATATATATATATATATATATATATATATATATATATATATATATATATATATATATATATATATATATATATATATATATATATATATATATATATATATATATATATATATATATATATATATATATGGTATTTAATAGAAATTAAAGATGTCTAAAGAAATTAAGCTTTCCAAGTCCATCTTAGAGATGAAATTTATGAAAAAGACGAAAGAAAAAGTGGATAAAGCTGAAGAAGATGCGGAAGGGCAGGCTATGTATTCGAACGAGATTACAGAAGAAATGAAGAAAAGTGGCAATATTATATTTAGACCGGCCAGTATAACGATATGTAAACGATTAGTGGAGGGCAGGCTTTCGTTTGGAGGTATGAATCCAGAAATCGAAAAACTAATGGCGACTGATTATAAGAAAATCGTCGTTGAAGTGGAGAAACGCAAAGAAAAAGACATTACCGATGAAGAAATGGCACAAAGACATTCCACAGTCGTTAATACGATCAGCAACAAGTTTAAAAAGAAAAGAAATAGGAATAAGAAGTTTCAGAAACCTCCTACAAATGAACCTTTAATATAAGTCACCAGTGTTAACCTAATTTACCTAATAAATTTCAATATAAAATACAGAATACCTGTAAGGAGATTTCTTTACTGTTTAGATCTTCTTTTAACTTTTCTATCTGCCGTAGATATTCCCTTTCCGAACGTTTGAAAGTTTTGTCCATTTTCGATACACATTTTTTGAGCAGGCCTAACTTTTTGTCGCCCTCACAACTCGTCAGGTGGTTTTGTAAAGAAGATATTTCATTTGATATTCTGTAAGTAGATTGAATATTTATTTTGTTCAAAATTATTATATTTAAATCACAATCTTGCTTACTATTGGCAACGTTTCTGAATTATGTCTGTTAATCTGAAAATTTCTTCATCTTTCTTATTGATTAATTCATCATTTATTTTATTATATATAAACATATGCTCATATTATAAACATTGTAACCCAGCATAGTCCTTGACTTATGCACGCTAGTATGTCTCTGAGAAGTATATAAAATAATACACAATGAGGACCTAAAGTCCGTCCCATTACAACTTTTGAACCGTTTGGTATATTATTTTGATGAAACTTGGAACAACAGCAATGTGTTGAACAATTCTCAAATGGAAGTACATGTCAAAAGATTCCTTATTTGAACGGTCTTTTCATTCTTTATTCATCCCGAAAGTGATCCTTTCTAACCATATGGTGTATGTAGGTACCTGTAAAATAATAACAATACGTAATTTTAACGAAATATTCTGTGTAAATAAAGCACAGCTAGTCAAAAATTCGTCAAATTTAATCAAAAGTGAGTAACTTTATCACTTTTTTTGTTAATGTCATTAGAATCAACTATCAATTAGTTAGCAAATTAATATATTGCGTAATAAATGTGGATAACTTTATCTACATTATTACGTTATCATTTTACCTCAATAATGACTAAAATATAATGCTCCTACTCTTAATGCTTGAGAAATTACTTTAGTAGTAGTGGAAAGTACTTGCCGGTAATGCCGGTGCCGCCATTTTCAACGGAAAGCTTTATGTTGCCGAAAAGTTCAACCTTGCATTTCGCTTGCCAAGTGGAAAATAGGGTTCACACAAAAAATAATAGGGTATAAAATTTTAGGTACTTACCTATATTAATAATACAATCGTGAGTTATGGTCGTATCTGCGATTTTCACCCACACTTTTCGACCGATTTATTCTAGTTTGAAAGGTTTTCCAATGTTGAATACTTCTTAGATCAATTGTTTTGTCACACACTTTATTACCTACTATTTTATTGATGATCGAAATGACACCGTCTGAAATAAGTAAAATTAAAATAGGCCGAAAAACCGTGGATGCCGTGGAAAACAAAAATCTCAAGCTCTGCTTAACTGTCCTTGACCGAATGAGACCTAACCAAACACTGACCAACCACCCACCTCACGATCACGTGAAAACAACGGCAAATCGAAGCGGCACGAGCGGGTTGGTTCTAAGAATTTTTAATTCTTTATTGAGTTGAATTTACACAACATTGTGTGATATCCCAATACTTTGTACTTATTTGTGTGAAGTAAAAAGTTCTGCTCATTTTTTAGTAATTTGTTATCAAAACTTAGTTAATGAAAACACTGTATGATTAAAATCAACACAAAATTGAGCAATTATGATAAATATACTCAAAGTTTCACACGCATATTTTTTAACACCGACTTTTTTTTCAGTTTACACCAATTGATTTTTAACCGTGCATCACTAAATATAGTCTGTCCAACGAGAAGATCCTTGACAGTGATAGATGTGTCTGTCATTTTAATTTCAAAGTAGTTTATTTTATTTTACAAAGAAATAAGTTGGTACAACTGGAACGCATAGCAGCTTTGAATAAGAAGACATAGCAGGAAATATTTAAAATTTGATTGACAAGATGACAAGTGATTACTTCAAAATATTGTGAAAAAAACTGTATAAAACTGAACAAATGTAATCGAGTTATTTTATTTAATAAAAACGGTATGTGTTAATACAAAACAAACAAGAACAAGACACTGCATACCAAAAAAATATAAAAAAGAACTATTTTTTACTTTCAAGCTTTATGAAAGAAACTACCCGCATTTATGATTATATTTATCAATAATATAATATAATAATTTATTATATTTACCAAACCAAATCAAACTTATGTACAAATATCAATATGTAATATTCCACAGGAATAAATAAAACAACATAGGTAAATAAAACAAACTATTTTATTAATAATAACACCTACCAAATTTTATACCTTAAAGGTTGATTAATTAACTTTAATCTTAATTTTTTTAAGCAAGTACCTTTTGACATTCTTTTTCTGCAGTACTAAAATCCATTATTTACCTATCGTTTGATGTCGATATTTTACAGCTACTCCAGTTTTTAGTATGTGTTTAGTTTGATCCTTCTACCATATACGAGATGCACTTATCTACGACGAAATGGTATACAAACTTTAACGATGGCAACTTCATTGGTGTATAAGACTTTCTGCCTGGGCAGCGAGTATTAACCATAAACTGTGCTCTGGGTCTACAGGATCTACAGGTCTACAGTCTTAATTTTCACTCGATTTTTCCTCCACTTGACTTCAAAAGACACAAAACACACGTAATAATACGAATCAAAATGCATCATCTTTCAAAACGCAGGGTATTTAACAAAAGTTGACACAAAATTATAACCTATAATTTGGCAAGACTTTGACAAGCGTCAAAAAATGACAAAAAATCTAAAGGCGAGTTCAGCTTACGCATCGGCGTCCGTTTATCGTTCATCGTTCCGTCAAACCAATAAAATTGAAATACGATCTGTCATTTTTAAATAAACCAATAAAACTGGTTAAAAACAACAAGACACGACGCATGACAGATTTATATTTAAACCCATCCATAGATAACTTAAAAAATTATTAGAAACTTTTTTAAAATAAATAGATTGGTATGGGACGTCATCTGCTTTTCTTCTGTCATCGTCTGTCGAAATCTTACCTGAGAAAAAAAAAACAGAGTATAGTCAGAACGCAACATAGAAAGTATCTTTCTATTTCCGCCATACTGCAACGTTTGTCTTTGCTGAGCTTCCTCTGTTTTTGAATAAACTTTTTTAAATTTTTTGTTGTGCTGTTCTAACTCGACGGATTTTATGAACAGTTTACAAACATCCTTTAATTGTGTCATTGTTATATTTTGCTGTTCAGTCATGCAGTTCAAATTTATCTCCGCAATAAGCTTTTCTCTCTTTAGGCATTTAAGTAATAATGTCATAAATAAATATTTTGAAATCATCCATTGTTAATAGCATAAAAATAATCACTTTAGGGTGGGGCAGGCTGTCTTAGGTCTATATAAAGCAAGATTTGCTTCGTGGTCAATCAGTTCAGAACGGTCAGTGTTAAAGGAAATATTACACTACTTCGAAGTTATTGAAAATGGCCCCAAGGGGGCCCTAAGGTTTATTGGTAATAATAGAGTTGTAAATAAATAATTTGAAATCATCAAATGTTAATAACATAAATAACCATTTTAGATTGGAGCAGGCAGTCTTCGATCTATATAAAATAAGGTTCCCATTGCATGTTTCCGAGATACCAATGCTCGTACCTCGAATTTGTAGCACCCTGTATACCAAGAAAAATAGTTTAAAGTCTTTTCACTGTTAATCTTAAGTTGACTAGAAATAATAGGTTTCTTAGTTTTATAAATCATAATTAAAAATTTCCGTTTCATTTACTTAAAATGAATGTCTTTCTTTCTATAAAATGAAAATATTTTACTCGAGGTATATCTAAGGGTATTAATCCGAGTCAAAACGGGTTTATTCAATTTACTTTTAAGATTAAATTGCATTACTTTCCTGTTATCTTGTTTTTTAGAATTCTGTTTCGCTGTTTCTTTTGCGATGGATGTTAATCTACGATTTATGTTAATCAGCAGAATGAACTTAAACTATTATTTCCTATTGTGAAGATTTATTGCTGCGTAATTAGCAGTAACTTTAAACTATTAAAGGTTTCAATGATTGTATCTTTATTGTGAATTTCCAAAAAAATACATTTATCGCGTTGAAATTTCCTAGCATCCAAAATTAAATTTACTATTATTTGCAAGGTATTTCGACATTTCTTTTTATCATTATTTATTTTATTTATCATATATTATCTCAAACTATCATCACAATGAACATCATACCCAACAAAAAGAATGAACATTATATTCTATATATACCGTGCTCACAATACCAAACTCATTTCTATATAATAACACCTCATTTCCAAGAGTTACTATTCTTATATTAATTGACCATCCCCAACAGCAACAACGCAACGTACATTCCTGATTCCTACCTTCATTGGGTTTCTGTTTCTCTCATGCGACACCAGACGCACCGACTAGCCGGATAGTTTATAAAGTTTTTTTGTTATCGTTTATGTTTGTGATATGTGAAAATGGAGGACCTTCTTCGGGCATGGGAGATGACGGATTTGATCCCAAAATTTCGGGGTAAGTTTAGCAATAATCCTACATTATTTGATGATATTGGTTGGAGGTTAGGGGGACTCCATTTTAATATGCATTATTTCTTATACACTGGTGGTAAACTAGGTATAATTATTTATTAATTTATTATCGTTTCTCGTTTTTAATTAGCGATGCCGCTATTCAATATCTACCTATATTGGGAAATTACACAGTTTTATTGTATTTTCTTATTACGAAAAGCATATAATTTGGTAGGTGATGTTTGGCTAATCTAATTTAGAAAGTATTAACCATATTCGGGGTTATTCTGGTGATATTTCAATATTCCATACCTTTTGGAAATGGAAATTAAAATTTTAGCATCTTCCAACTCTATTATATTCATGTATGTTACCGGACCAACCCGATTTTTAGGATAAACTAATTTTGCTAGGCCAAATCAGGGTATCCAAAAGACACGGGTTTGAAAGACTATTATGCCGCGCTTAAAGACTTTAGATAAAGAAAAGATTTTACGAAAACA